CAAATATAAAGAGAGATGTTGAACGGGTGTGTGGAAGATGCATGAAGTGCAAGAAGGCGAAATCCAAGGTACAACCCAATGGTATGTATACTCCTTTACCGATTCCAAGTGCACCATGGATTGAAATTTTAATGGATTTCATTGTTGGGTTGCCTAGAACTAGGACATAGAAGGATTCTGTGTTTGTTGTTGTTGATAGATTTTCGAAAATGACACATTTCATCCCTTGACATAAAACCGATGATGCATCCCATATTGTGGTTTTGTTCTTTCGAGAAATTGTTCGGTTGCATGGCATGTTGGTTTGGTGCTCTATGATGTACTGTTTATGAGCTATGATTATGATACATTTGATGTATTGACACTTTCTATAGTTTTATGGATTAGTGTTTGATTCATTACGTATTATGCATGCTTTAATATGTTGTGAAATCCATGTATCATTATGAATGATACTAAACTCCCTAGTCTTGTGTCGTTGTGGGAACAACGACATAATAAGACTAGTATGATGTGTGATAGATGATCATAGGATTGATCATAGGTATTGGATACGATCACAGTCATAGGTATTCGTTGGAGAACGGAATACTGGATTGACCCGCATGAGATTGTCACATGGATTAGCGTCATGACTTGAATCTCATGTGACGGTTCCATGATTGGATCCTAAGACCTGAGATGTCTACGGAATCCAACATGAGGAGTTGCGTGCTTTGATTACGTCAAACGTCCTGCGTAACAGGAGGATTATAAAGGCGTGTATCAGGTACGAAACAAATCATGTGCTGGATTGTAGATAGTCAAGACGGGATTTGTACCTCTCGTAAAAGAGAGAGATATCGTTGGGCCCCTCGTGTGAGCGAGACTGTAGAAATGTGTGGCCGCACTATAGACGAACGTCGTCTATTTCAGACAGTCGAACTCAGTGAACGAGAAAGCAGTCGAATCAGATAAGGTGGCTTGTCCATGCCTCATGTTCGACATATGATATCGCGATACAAAAGGATCATCAGCCGGAATCATCACTGGCGTTCGTATGATCACGAACAAACTCTATTCGAGATAGGTAGTCATAGTGTCTTGCTAGAGACCGCCTATGACTTGTGTAACCGAAATAAGAGATTTCGTGTTATACTGCTATATCGGATGAGCCTACAGGGTCACATACACAGGAAAGGACGAATGCGCGAAAAGAGACGAGAAAATCCCGGTGGAGCGGAGGCCAGACCGA